GAATCTGCGTTGAACCTTGAGTTTGTTTGTGCTGGGGCTTTCGATGTTGTTGAATTTGTAAGAACTTGTGTTATTGTAAGACATGTTCGAGCTGCGGTTGGATTCCCGGCGGAATTCTGGCCTACGGGTTCGGCCCACCGCCGGTCTTCCTCGGTGCCCTTTGGCTCTGGTTCCACGTCCCTCGGGGATTTTGGCATCCGGTATTTGGACTTGCACTTTCCAGATTCTGGATTTCGGGCCCTGCCGCCCCAGCCATGGGCCCGCGTCCCCGCGTCTGGCGGCACGGCCCCAGACTCTGTTCCACGCCCTGGATCTGGGGTCCTCGTTCCGCGTACCGGGTGCGGTGAAGGAAGGGTTGCCAGATGCGGGGCCGACGAGGAGAAGAAGGACGAGGCTGAGGAGGAGGAGGAGGAGGAGGAGGAGGAGGAGGATGGATGAGTGGACACATGAGGGAGATGCGGCCAAAGGTCGCTGTCGGCCCTGTTTTGGGACAGGCCTGTTGCGGCGCCACAACTCATATTGTTTAATCGTTGACAACATGGCCGCAGTGAATTTGGTCTGAAGGCAACGTTGTCGGCCCATAGGGCGGGAGCATTTTTGTCGCCAGGACAGCCAGGCGCACTACCGTCATGCAAGTGTAAATGGTGGTGGTTGCCTCCATCGGAAGAACCAGGGATGGGGCATCGCAGCAACGGCGTAGCACGGGGGTCAGAATCAGCGTCTTTGTTGCATCCGAATTTCCCTGGCGAGCTTTCTTCGTATTTTGTGGAACCTGGGCAGGAATAACATCCGCAACGCTTCGCCAGGCCATCCACACTACAAGTCTTTCGCCAGCGCCAGCGCGCTTTTGTGCGATGTGGCCTGTCGATGGTCCGCGATTACGACGCGACTGGTCGACGGTCCGCGTACTGAGGCGACTCGCCGACGTTTGCCCGCCTGAAATCGGATTTCTGTTTACGGTAATCAGCGCCTGGGTTGGTGGGCAATGCGGTCAGCCAATTGCTCGCGGAACACTGTTCGCCTTGCCACGCCCGCGCCAGCGCGCGGCAGGGCGACGCGACCAGTCGATGGTCCTCGACAAGGGACATCGCCAGCGCGGAGGCGCACGGATCGGCAATTTGCGTCGCTAGCGCCAGTGTGCGGAAAACCAGCGCGGCTTACTTAGGGTCCGCAATTTTTCCCGCGAGACCGCCTTCTCGCGCCCTGTCAGCGCAGCACTTCAGTGAAGTGCAGTGCGGCAGCACCGTCCAGCGCGGCCGCGAATACTTGCCTTCGAAAGCGGGCATGGCGCTCCCCCGTGCGCTTTGGAGTGACATTATTTTGTAATCCGGCTCTGTTCGACCACGCGCTGTGCATTTTGCGCAGTCGCCTTGGCACACCCGCTGCCATAGCGGTGGACGCGGAGTGGTTTGGTGGCGACCTTTGATACATCGGGGAACAAGCAGTGACATAACCATAAACTGTCGGAGTTCCGCGAGGATTTCTCGGATCAGCGCTGGAGCCCCCTGGCGGCGCCTCCAGCGCCGTCCAGCGCCGATGCGAGAAATCCGCGCGGACTTTAAACAACTTATGCCTATGTCATTTATGTTCCCCGATTGCAGGTGCCAGTACCGAGCAAGTTGCGCGGTTTCATTTTGCGCTTCGGACCGCCGTCGGGGGAAACCAGGGATCGTGGCCGGTTCCGGCGGGGGCAGGCGCTTTAGCCAATTCTCCCCGTCGGTGCCGTGGCGTTGAGTGCCTCAGGCAGGCGAGTTTCGGCGGTGACATTACGTGATGCCGCGCAGCGCAGCCCACGGCACTGGCGCTCGACTCGGAATGCTATTTTGATCATACATCGAACTTTCAAATCGAATGTGGCATACAAATGCAAAGTCAAGCGCAGTCGGAAGACGCCAAATTGCAAACCGAATCGGACGTCACCATGAAAAGCGACATGCGCTTCCAAGGGCAAATCTATGCGCAACCGATCTGCATTTGAATCGCACATCGGAATACACATCGCAGCCGTAATGCAGTTCGGGGTGCAAATCTATTTGCAAGCCCAACGACCTTATGCATACAGTCACATCCTAAACGTGTCTGTGATTCACGTCAGGTATCAATTATATATAGATATGTATGCAGGTGTGTGTGTGCTTACACACAAATCTTACGTACATTTGTCGGAGGTGAGGGGGTGAGATCGAAGTGGAACGGAGAGCCCCCCTACCGGGAAATCGATTTCGGTTTCGTGTTCGTGCGTGCCGTGCGTGCGGGCGATGCGAAGCTGCGTGGGCGGGCGAGAGAAAGTCTCCTGTGGCTGAGGCGCGGCCGGACCAAATGATTCCCTTCCGGGCGGCCGGGGCCCCGCGGTGTCCCGCCGGTGTCCCGCTGGTGTCCCGTGTGGCTGAGGCGCGGCCGGACCAAATGATTCCCTTCCGGGCGGCCGGGGCCCGCGGTGTCCCGCCGGTGTCCCGCCGGTGTCCCGTCGGTGTCCCGTCGGTGTCCCGATGATGATGTTGATGATGATTATGATGATCATTACGATGATGATGGTGATGATGATGGTGATGATGATGATGTTGATGATGGCGATGATGATGATGATGATGATGATGATGATGATGATGATGATGATGATGATGACGTCGATTGTGAGATCGATTGTGATATCGATAGTGAGACCGAATGTGAGATCGATTGTGAGATCGATAGTGAGATCGATTGTGAGATCGATAGTCAGATCGATTGTGAGATGATGATGGTGATGATGGTGATGATGGTGATGATGATGGTGGTGATGATGATGATGACGTTGATGATGTTGATGATGATGGTGTCCCGATGACGATGATGTTGATGATGTTGATGATGGTGATGACGATGATGTTGATGATGATGATGGTGTCCCGATGATGATGATGATGATGATGATGATGATGATGATGATGATGATGATGATGATGATGATGATGATGACGTTGATGATGATGATGTCGATGATGATGACGATGATGGTGTCCCGATGATGATGATGATGATGATGATGATGATGATGATGATGATGATGATGACGATGATGATGATTATTATGATGATGATGACGATGTTAGAGGATGATATGATGATGATGATGATGATGATGATGATGATGATGTCCCGATGATGATGGTGTTGATGATGATGATGATGATGATGTTGATGTTGATTATGGTGTCCCGGTGATGATGACTATGATGGTGATGATGATTGATGATGGTGATGATGATGGTGTCCCGATGCTGATAATGATGAGGATGATGATGATGATGATGATGATGATGATGCTGATGATGATGATGATGATGATGATGATGATGATGATGATGATGTTGATGATGATGATGACGATGTTGCTCGTCGTCGTCGTGAGATCGGCTGTGAGATCGACTGTGAGATCGATTGTGAGATCGATAGTGAGACCGACAGTGAGACCGAATGTGAGACCGAATGTCAGATCGATTGTGAGATCGATTGTGAGATCGATAGTGAGATCGATAGCGAGATCGATAGTGATATCGATAGTGAGATCGAATGTGGGACCGATTGTGAGATCGATAGCGAGATCGATTGAGTGAGACGTTGGTTCCCCCTCCCCCCTGACCTCCTTATCACCCGCAGGGTGGTCGTATAGGTATATACATTTATATACACACACGCAACTCGATACAGAGAGAGAGAGAGAGAGACAGATAGATAGAGACCGAAAGAGAGAGAGAGAGATGCATAAAGAACGAGAGAAAGTTTGCACAGTGCAACGCGCTACTGCTGCGCCTGAGGATTGACGAGTCTGTGCAGCCAATGTTTGAAGGCTAGGATCTCGGATCCCCCGTCGGTTGTTCTTCGGCTGCTCGAGGGGTGGGCGCCATGTCGCCGACCCCACATACACGTCGGTGGTGTTGGGTCCTCGTTCTGAAGAGAGAGCGCCCCGCGTTCCTCCTCCTCCTCCTCCTCCTCCTCCCTCTTCCTCCCTCCTCCGAACTTTGCCTCCTGCTCTCCGCATGTCAACCATTCGGCACATTTCTCACGCGTTTCATGTTTCCATAGATAGGGAGGTTCACGTTCGCATGCGGTTCATGTTTCCAAGGCGGAATAGCTGCGTTCGCTTGCGGTTCCATCCCAATTTCGGCACACCCTCACACGTTTCGTTGCCCCATGGGGATCTCCACCGAAGGCCCTAGTGGGGTCGAATGCGGTTCCACCCCCATTTCGGCACACCACATACATACGTTTCGTGGCCCCACGGGGAGCTCCACTGAAGGCCCGAGTGGTTGCGTTCGCATGCGGCTCCATTCCCATTTTGGCACATCTCTGACACGTTGCGTGGCCCCATAAGGAGCTCTACCGAAGGCTCCAGTTGCTTCGTTCGCATGCGGTTTCACCCCACATTTCGGCACACCCCTCACACGTTTGGTGGCCCCACGGGGAGCTCCACCGAGGGCCCCGGTGGCTGCGTTCGCATGCGGCTCCCCCCATTTCGTCACACCCCTCACACGTTTCGTGGCCCCAGAGGGAGCTCCACCGAAGGACCCAGTGGCTGCGTTCGCATGCGATTCCACCATTTCGGCACACCCCTCACACGTTTCGTGGCCCCATGGGGAGCTCCACCGAAAGCCCCCGTGGTTGCGTTCGCATGCGGCTCCACCCACATTTCGGCACACCCACGTCCAGACGTGCGGTGACGAGGTCGCGCCGCTCCCTCTCCGCCTCCTGAGCGGGGGGATTTGGGACCCCAGGGGACGGGGAAAGGAAGAGGGGGTCAGTCAAACGTCTCACACGCCTTTTCACCCCTGGCAAGCGGGGGTCGGCGGAGTCTTTCCCATTGATTCCCCTTTGTCCTTTGCATCTCTTCATGTCCCCCTTCGCCACCCTGTATCCTACTCGCTTAGCTGCCTGCCCTCAGAACCTGTCTTTTTTTACGTGCCGCTTTCCAATGTCCAATTCGGAACTCTGTGCTCTCTTTTCGCGGGAGTTGCGAGCAGGAATGGGATGCCCCAGTGCTGGAATACCTGCAGGACACGGGGCAAACTGTGCACTGACGTCGGGTCAGAAGAGGTCGAGGGCAGAGGGAGACAAGGAAGAGGGAGAGGAGGACGATGGCGAGCAGGGTGGGGACCAGGAAAGGGGTGAGGGAGAGGGCGAGGAGGAGCAGGACGAGGCTGAGGAGGGGAAGGGAAAAGTGGGCGATGAAGAGTGATCAGGTCCCACTCAACGATCGCGCAACGAAAAGAGGGAGCCGGAGAAGCAGAAGTAGGAAGAAGAGGAGGAGGGTTGACAAGTTCGAGGGGGAATTGGAAGAAGAGATGGAGGGGAGGGATCGGAGGAGCAGTAGTCTTACCCCCTACCCCTCTTCTCCCTCCCCCCACCCCTCCCTCACTTCACTTGCTTTCCCCCTCAGTTCTAAGCTGTCCTACCACAGGACTGGGAGAAGGAAGTGGATCAGCAACAGCTGGGTGAGGGAGGGAGGATGCGCAGCTGGATCAGGAGGAGGAGGAGGAGGAGGAGGAGGAGGAGGAGGGGGAGGCGGCGGAAGACGCGACATGGTGCCCGAATGTTGCCACGTGGGATCTCCCCGATGGGGCGAGAGGGAC